AGATGGATCAGCAGAACACGTCAAGGCGTAAATTTGAATAATTAAATACAAATTTGAATACTAGGAAGCAATGGAAACTTACCAAAACTAGTGGCATAACAAAAATGAAAAATCTTAAACAAAGTAGATATTAAAACAAACTTTACAAATATAGTTAATTTGTAATATTGGAAGCATAAAATGATGACATTTGGTTAAAAAAATAAAATAGGGACTTAAATCACCACGAAATCTTGAGTTTTGCTCATTGAGTTATTTCTAATCGGATATGAGTGTTTTTATAAAATTATTATTTACCAATTTGTCAATTCAATTTCTCCAAATATGAGACGGCTGCCCAATTTGTACAACTTAGAGTAATTATTTAGTAGATCCAACCTACAACATATATCATACCATTTCAATAGTAAGAGAATATATAACTATTTTATCTCCTATTTTTTAGACAAGGTAGTCTTGTGCACCCTCTATTATTTAGTAGGTACATGACTACATGAGAGGCCGAACCTATCAAATAATTTCTTGAGATTAAGACACATATTTGAGAGTTAGGGAGAGAAAATAATTAAAGAAAATGTTTTGGATTCTAAATAATTTAATAATTTTTTTATCAAATCTCTCATGTGAGTGTGAGACCCACACAAACCAACATGTGTGTGGGTCCTATACCCATGTAAGAGATTTGATAGAAAATTTGGTACATTATTTGAGATCCCTAGCATAACTCAAAAAAAAATATACATTAGGGACCATAGTTGAAATTTATAATTATTTCATTAACGATTTAAACAGTTGTTATTTGACTTAAATTGACAACTTTGATAACTTAAATGATAAAATTAGAAATTAAAGGATTAAAATGACAACAAATGCATATCAAAGAAAACTAGCAAAAATCTCTCCAGATATAAACCTTAAGATCCAAAAAGTAGATCTGGAGAAGTCTCTCTAGTGTTGGGAGAAAACCAACTATTTATAGAAAACCAAAGCAATCCTAATTTCAGAAGAAAACCAACTCTTTAATCAAATCTGGAAATCTGGATCGCGCGGTCCGCTCGAGCTCAACACAGCCCGCTCGAGCGGACTGACCAAAAACTGCGTGCGAACAAGCTGAGATGCGCTCGAGCGTAGGAGAATCCGCTCGAGCGTAAAATCACACCCACCAGTATTTTTGCTTGTCCTGTCAAAATACTGAGACCTGCTAATCTACGCTCGAACTCACAAGTCTCCGCTCGAGCGGACAGAACAAAAACACAAAAAATTATATTTGAATCAACACAATGTTTTGTCTCCGGATTTGACAACATAGGGACCTAACAGTTACTATAACAGACTCAACATTCTTCATTAATTTGTCTTCTGCCTTTTTTTACCACAGTTGATGCTCTGGTTTCAACTGGCCTTGCTAAACTTAGTTACAAATATGTCAATATAGGTACACAATAACATGACCCTTTTCTATGCTTATTTTCTTCTCTATTTTTTTCTCTTGAAAAACCACTATCAACATGTGTAGCTGACATAAGATTGTGATATTGCTTCTTTAGATGATTGCTGGGCTGAAATTGATTGTGACAATGAGGTTTGCTTGTTTCCACATATTTTTTTCTTCAATGACAGTTAACAGTGGATTTATTCATAGATTTAATTGCTGAGATGTCCTATTTTAAGGACTTGTGCTAGAGTAAGTCCCACCATAAATCTTTTAATGCTTACCGTCACTTTTTAAAAATTGTTATAATTTTTTTGACATTTACATTGGGATACATGTGAAAAAGCTAAAGGAGAGTGAAATAAAAAAAATCTTAAATGAACAATTGAAGTTAGGAGCTATAGACTAGCTTGTGCAGGAGACCAAATTATATTGTGTGTATTATCATATTTTATTATTCTCCATCATAACTGGCCTGGCCTAAATATGGCTTTGTTTCTAACGATATCTAATATATTGATGTATATTTTTGCAGGTAGTGTTGAGGGAGTAGTTGATATTATTGACTGGGTGATATTGAGAGCTAAACTGAGTTTTTTTTTTTTTTTTTTTTTGAATCTATTAGTGTTTTGTATAATTTTTTTTTTAAGGATAGTTAATGGATATTTGTTTTGCATGTATGGAAGTTTACATTTTGTATGCACATTTCTTTTCTTTTTTTTTTTGAAAAAAGAAAATTTTATTGAGGGAAGTGATGCAAAATAATATATGAGTATTAGAATTTTTGCAAATATCACTTTACATTTATTGTATATAATATTTGAATATATATATATATATATATGAGAATGTAGGTTGTTAAAATATTATAGGCATTTTTTTAATTTTTTTGCGACGGCAAACCATTAGTCTCCATAAGTAGATTAGGCATCGCCAATAGTTTGTGACTGCTATTTTGCGGTCGCAAAAAAGTATTTGTCACCCTCACATTCGCAACTATAAAGAAAGATCATATCCGTCTTAGTATTAGTTAAAAATATGTTTGTGCACAAATAAAAAAGAGTTTAAAAATAAATTAAAAAATTAGGGACCAGTTTTGAAGGACATCCATGACATGAAGAGACATTTTTCAATAGACAAAGGTAGAAATTTGTAATGCAAATCGTTAACGTTACGTAGGAATGGCAACGGGGCGAGGCCGGGGATCCCACTCCCCGTTCCCGATCCCCGATGGTGAAATTTTCCCCGTCCCCGGTCCCGATCCCCGACGGGGAACCTATCCTCGTCCTCGTCCTCGTCCCCATCCCCTAATGGGGATCGGGTTTCCCCGACCCCGAAGTGCCCCGATCCACAAAAAAAAAAAAAATCCTATTACAGGAGCAGATCATCAACATCATCGAACAATAGTTCAACTCAACAGATCAACAATATCTTACATCAACAATAGATGATCTATATTTACACAACAGATCTGAGAAGTACAACTCAAAAAGGTGGTGTTGGCAGCGAAGGAAAGGCAGCGGCAGAGATGGTGTCGCCGCGAAGAGAAAGGCGTCAACGTTGACGGAAGGAAAAGGCATCGGAGTCCGGAAGTGAAGGGAAAGGTGTCACCGTGATGTTCTTGAGGAGGGAGATCGGCGAGGCCAGCAAGATCAGAAGAGGGAGAGGACAGGGGAGGAGCCCCCGCCGCTGCGCGCCGTCAATGCCGTGAGAAACACTTGCAGCAAAGAAAGAGAGAGAGGGAGAGGGGGAGAGGCTGAGAGGAGAGAAGAGAAATGAGAGTGAGTGAATGGGTGGGAGAGAGAGGCAGACTTGACTTAACTCAACCCTAAACATATATATATATACTAGGGATAACCCATGCCTGAAAGCACGGTCAATAATTTTTTTGATACCACACGTGCTACAGAATTCAATTGTAATGAGACTTAATACTTCACTCCAGCTTAATACTTCACAAATAAGAAGTTGAAATTGTTTCTACACAGTAAACTGGCAAAAACATTCATGAATTTCAAATAACAAACTTCAAAATTACAATCCAAATAATGAATTTTATATTACAGTGTAGCATAAACAGAAAATAGAATCTAAAAATCTTTGCTAAAATTCAAATCCAAACAACAAATTTTAGAATTCAATCCACGTCAAAATGACACATGTATAGGAAACATTCAATAAAAGGATATTACTGAATTAGCATCATAACTGGTAACCTTTTCACTTTATCAAATTTCAATACCTTCAAGAAAAGGTGAACGAATATTTTGGTACAAAAGAGTAATCATCCTATCCAACTAAAAAAAAATAATAATTAATCATCCAGTTTAGAATGAGAGCCAACCAACTACACACATAAAGAGAAGCAACGTAATCCAACATTTCTAATACAGATCAGCCACCTGGAACAAAATCACTTGCTTAAATTCACTTTAAAAAACTATTACCTATGAGAAATCGCATCAAAATACATATGAGAAATCAACAAAATGATTCTTTAAAAGCAACTTTAATTTGACAACAAAATGAACTCATTGCAGTAATAAAAATAATTTGAAGAACAATAACAAATGCATGAATAGCTTAATATAATATTATTGAATCAGATGATTTTTTGGTTTCAATTTGAACAATACCAAAAAAACTCAACAAACCCATGTTTAAGAGTGATAATTGCATGTTTCACAATTTTTTGCAATGACATTGTCATAGCAATGGGACTAAAGGCTTGGTTGAATTTGGTTTGGTTTGGTTTGGTTTGAACATTGTCATAGCAACAAATAATCTTCTTTCAATTTGTTTTGTAATTAATCCCTTTCTTTCAGCACAAAATTCATGTACTTCTCTAATAGCTCTGAATATATCAGTGGTAAGCATAATTTTGACCCCATCATTGGCTAAAACACACATGAAAAATGGCATTGAGCAAAGATTCTAAACATGGATGTAAGAGAGAAGTTTACACAGGTTTTACATAGTGAAACCTATCAATAAAATGATTGTAACACCCTCAAAATAATAACATTAAACTAACCACATTTCTTTATTTCATTGAGTTTCATTACATAAGTATTACATGTTAACATCAAAACAAAATGCCCTACGGGCTTACAGCTTTCCAAGTTAACACTTGGTTACAACAAAAGAGTACTAACTCGTTTACACATTAACCCCTTGGCTTGAAGTTACATGTAATACATCAAAAGTAAAACAACTACACTAAAGGGGAAATAGGAGAAGGAAGAGAGGACGCCAGAGATGGCTTCGCCGACCGAATGGGAAGCCGCGATCTGGTCACATCAGAGAATGGGAAGGGATAGAAGAAGAAGAGAGGAGAATGGGTCGTCTGCCGGTGGGTGTGGCATTCTCTCTCTCTCTCTCTCTCTCTCTCTCTCTCTCTCTCTCTACAAAATGCTCAAGTCAATGAATCATGTGAGAAATATGTGGTGCAGGAATCTCATGATTCAACGGCTAGGAATCATGGTTGTTAAAATCGCGATCCGGATCATACGATCCTACGATCTTACTTTGCCAAAACGATTCAGATCGTTGTAGGATCGATGTTATCAGATTACAGAACAGAAAAGATGGACCGACTTGTGTTGATCTATGTTTCTTATTTGCTCTTCGCTTGTATTACAGGAGAAGGATGCAAGAGACATAGAGATTCCAAATATAAGATGGGAAGTTTTTGAGTTGATGATGAGGTTATGCACTTCCGAGAATATTGAATTTCAATAAAAGTCTATGGTCCTGAGATTTTCAATATATGGGTTATTTTTAATGTGCAGATTCATATACACTGGATCAGTGGATATTACATTGGATATTGCCCAAGATCTCCTTAGAGCTGCTGATCAATATCTCTTGGAAGGACTCAAGCGGCTTTGTGAATATACCATTGCACAGGTGAGTTTGAGATGTATTTATGAATATTCACCTTCATAGTTTTTGCATCAGATAGATGTCTGAATAAGCTTCTTTTTTTATCTTCAGGATATATCATTAGAAAATGTTTCAAGCATGTATGAGCTGTCAGAAGCATTCCACGCCATATCATTGAGGCATACATGCATTTTGTTCATTTTGGAGCAGTTTGAAAAATTAAGTGCTAGGCCAGGGTATGCGCTTTCTCTAACCTTCGTGTACTGCGGCTTATTTGAATATTGTTTTTAGAACATTCGAAGGGAAAAGGAGATGAAATTTTTTTGATGTAGAACATATCTTCCCTTCATACATTTTTCAGTGTCAGTTGCTATAAGAGTATTCAGCTATTTATTTATTTTTTTTGTTCTCATATTTTATATGGTTGTATGGTTCTTTCTGCTATGTCCCCGATCTGCATGTATGACATCGGCAGTTATGGCGATCAATCACATAATGGGGCCAAGTCATGTACCTACTAAATATTATACTGATATGTATTGAGTATGATGCATGACCAACACTGCACAGGAAATACTGGAAGGGTGTATTCCCCGCTCGAGCGCCAACACCTCCGCTCGAGCGGACAGGCCAAAAATCTGGGCAACTAGTTTTGGTTTCTAAACTCAACCAACCTGAAACAAATCCGCCCAACACATCCTATAACTCAAATACTAAGTATAAAGGATGTAAACAAAATAATAAACAACTACCAACATCCACGGACACATGTCCGGATCACTATACAACAAGGGTAAACCCGGGATCGCTATAATGATAACCCTTGTATAGAAGTCTTCCTAGTTGAACCGGGGAGCAAATTTCAACAACAACAAAAATATGAATTAGACAAACCTCTCCAAACATAGAACACGCATTGATGAACTCACCATTTTTCCTATTATCTAAGCTGTATAAATAGATCAAATAATAAAAATAAAATTAAAAAGCCCTAAAAAAACACAAACTATTCATTGCAAAATTCACGAAAAAATCAAAAATTTGTGTCATCATTACTATAAAACACAATATTTGTAATCTTTGAAAGACATGATCTTTGATAAAATCATAGAATCCAAAAATCAACTCAATAGAAAGGATAACAAACTAAGTGAATATTAAATTAAACTGAGTGAATATTGTTTTGTGTCCTATACATGGCAGGATAACAAACTGAGTGAATATTTATATACAAATTAAACAACATAGAAATTAAATCTCTATTTCTTTCTCTTCAAAAAAGCCTCATCAATTGGTTCAACAATTAAAAACTAACCTCTCTGTATCTCATAATGGTTCATCAATTTTCATCTCTGTCTAACCCATTTTCGTCAAATTTATTGTCTCTTGCAATAAAATCTATCAATTATTACCCACTTCAATTTAAAATATCAAATTTAGTAAATAATAATTTGAATATGAATGCATAAAGATATCCAGTTAAACTAACCTAGAACAATGAAACTCTCAACAACCAATCAGAGAATTCTAAGAAAATACAAAGACTTTTGCTAATGAGATTAATTAAAGCTTGAACAGTATGATAATACAAATTCAAACCAATTAACTCATGAATTTAAAAATCAATTACCAAACCAAACCAAGCCTTAAGTCCCATCAATTAATTTAAAAAATTAACTCATGAATTCTATAATTTTGTTAAGAGCCTATTCGTTGAAATAAAAAAATGAAATGTGGTTTAGATTTAACTAAGACAAAATGTACAAATAAAAAATAAAAAAATAAACATAACAAAGAAAATCCATGAGCATCAAATCATCCATCTTGTTGTGCCCTTGAGTCAACGTCCACTTATCCACATGCAGGAAAAATAAAAACTCCCCCACATACAGGAACAAATCTAGTAGTCCATGCCTAAACTGATGACCATGACAAATTTGGTAAAAAAATTCTTTTTTTTTGATGACTTAACAAATCTCGCAGTCCATGGCGTAACTCATATTACACCTGATCCTACATTCCTAAACATGTATCAATGTCAGCATTAAGAAAAGCATAACAATAGAAAGGATAACAAACTAAGTGAATATTAAATTAAACTGAGTGAATATTGTTGTGTGTCCTATACATGGCAAGATGACATATTGAGTGAATATTTGTATACAAATTAAAAAACATAGAAATTAAAGCTCTATTTCTTTCTCTAAAGAAAAGGCCTCGTCAATTATCCAAAACTGCCATGTTATCCAAATTATATTTTACAACACCCGAGATGGGGAAAGTTTCTGTTTGAGAACATTAACTTATCCAGAAATTTAGTTCTAAGTTCTGTCCCTGTTTTTATATTAAGCATTTAAGAAATGGGGGAAAAAATACTATAACTGAGGGTTCTTCGAAAAAGAAAGTAGTGTAAAACATTGCCTCTAAATTCACATAATACTCATCTCCCGTTCCTTCACCTTGTTGGTGGTATTAATAAAATGTCCAGATTCTTTTTGTCTTATAGTTAGATCCCTAGTTTATGTGACATATATAGGTCTATTGTCCTTGCACCATGTTGTAAGATGCTAAATGCTAACACATTCTACTTAAAAATCCACTAACATAATCACGCATGATTCAAGTAAGATCAAACTTAATGGTTCCAGCTCAATCATTAACTGATAGTAAGAGGTAAATCTAGGAAATAGCTATGATTATAAATTTTTAATTGACATTTTTTCTTACTGAATTGGAAAAAAATAAAAAAATATATCAAACTCTTACAAACCATTACCTTGAATAGAGATGGTCACAAGTAGTAAATTTTTAGAATACTAAAATATCCTAAATGAAATGCCCCAAAATAACCTCATTACCACCCAATAATTAGTAAGTCACTCACCTCTATAATAGAACCATGACCAATAGTAGGAAGAGATTGTTCAACAGAATGTTGTAGGTAATACGTAATTGAAAGCTAAAGATCATTCAAACTACAAACATGGTATGAGCAGAAAACTATAAGATGATGCACTACATGTCCAATACAAAGAAGGTTCAAGCCAGTGTGAAAAAACTGAGGTTGTTCATCCATTATCATCCAATTATTCATGAAGGCACTAAGATTTGAGCACAATGACAACTTCATTTCATACTTACAATGAAATAAATTGTAGAGAAGACAGCAATTGTCCAATATCTTCCCCAACATGCATCTGCCAAGACTGCTCCAATAAGGGGTGTTAGGTAGCAAGTGCCTAACCAAGTGGTAACATTTCTTGCAGCAAAGACATTTCCTTCGTGTAATTTTGTGGTGAGATAAGTGACAAGATTTGTAGCAATCCCATAATAAGCTAAGCGTGCACAGCATTCAGTACCTGTTTTTTTATATTCAACAAAGTTAGAAGAAAAAAGATGGAATATCAAAAACATTAAGAATTATAGACATTGTTGAAGTAGTAACTACCAAGAATGAAGGGGCATGCTCTCCAATTCCTAGTGTTGCTCTTCAACACGGGTTCCCCCTTAATGTTCACTAAACCATCTCCTGTGTAAAGTCCACTGCTTTCATTATATATTAATATAATATGTTAATATATTATAGTATGTATATAATGGTCATACAGCTAGCTAGATAGGATTCTTTGTCCCTGCTTTCGGTCGCCCGCCTTCTTTCGGCCTCCTTTTCCTTATTATATTGAATTATATCATAATGATGTTTTGTAACCAGCTCCTATATTATGGAGCCTCTATTTGGTTTCTGAATATAGTTTCAACAACAGAGTTCTCTTTCAATATCACTCTCTCAACTCTCTCTCAACTTATTTTACACTGAAGACATAAAATGGGTAGTTAGGCAGAGAGAAGAAACCTTACTGAGTAAAAATATTGGTGTGTGAGTAGGTGGGTGGGTGGGTAGCAAGTTCTGGCACCAAACAGTCTCCATATTTAGGTAGTTCCTCTGGCCTATTATTAAGCTTTTGACAACCTTTTAAGAGTTGACAGTAATAGTTGCAAAAAGAAAACTCTCAAGAATCATCTAAATCAATATGTAATGACAGAGTGAGGAAACACAAATCATTAATTTTTCAGTGAGAATAAGCCAATTTTATAGCTTATTAACATTTCTATTTTCCCCTTTGTTTAGATACTCTCAGAAACTAACAAATAAGATTGGTTTGCTCACCTGAACAGATTCTTCCTTTTGCAGTGGCTCCATTCGATCGTCATCAATATTGAAGGGCGTTTGGGGCTGCCACTGTTGACAAAGATTGGGATGACAGAGACAGAGAGGGAGGAAAAGAGAAGATGAAGAGAGTAATAGGGGGTTCGGGGTTGGGTCTCCGGCAAGGGAATGGGCTTCGATGGAGATAAAGAGAGAGAGAGAGAGAGAGAGAGAGAGAGAGAGATTTGTTCAAAATTTGAAAATTGAAAGAGAGAGATTTTGAGCAGAAAGGAGTACGTATGAGAGAGAGAGATTTTCATTAGATCTTGAGCTGAGGTGAGAGACATTTTGGACCATTAGATGTTGATGGTAATTGATCTCAATCATTGAAATGTCCAAATAGGACAAAAGAGAGTAAGATATTTTCAACCCTTGGATTGAAACAATCTAATGGTCCAAATTTTGACACATATATATTTTCAGCTCTTAAATTCAAACTCACCCTTCCATTGTTATATAGATTTTTTTTTATTAATTTTTTATGTTTGTCGATTTAGTTAGATAAAGATTGAAGGCAAATTGATTCATTCAAGAGAGATGAATCATTTCAAACAGAAAATAAATTAATTTGTTATTTGATTTCAGTCTAATTTTTAAATAATTCTTATTAACTATACTGAATTGACCTGAAGTAAAAAATTCCACAATGAAATTGATACAATTAAAATTATAAATACTAAATTAATATAAGAGAAACTGTAATTTAGCATTCTGAAAAAAAATATAAAAATTACTCAGTAAAAAGTAGCAAGGCATGCGGGCCCACTAGGGGGGGGGGGGAAATCTAAACCCCTTTCAAATGGTCCTGTAAGTTGAGTTTCTAAAAGAGACATGTTCTAAAAGTGAAGCTCTCCATGACAAATAGGGCTGCAAATGAACAGAGCCGTTTGTGAACAGGCTCGAGCTCGATTTAGTAAGAGCTCGTTCGATCTCGATTCGTTAATTTTTTTTTGCGCTCGAGCTCAAGCTCGTTAATTTTTAATAAACAAGCCCAAATATTCTAAAGCTCAGCTTGTAAGCTCGGCTCGTTAGCCGGCTCGTTTAATATTTATTATTTATATATTAAATAATATAAAAATATGTATAAAAAATAAGAGAA